GACATACCCGCCCCCGAGCGTTCGGGGTACAACCCTACTTGGAACTAGTTCCGGAACTGGAACTAAGGACTGGAACTTGGAACTAGTTCCGGAACTGGAACTAAGGACTGGAACTTGGAACTAGTTCCGGAACTGGAACTAAGGAATTTCAAAAATGAGTTCCGGAACTGGAACTGGAACTAAAAAAAATTTTTTTAAATTATTTTTAATTTAAAATTATTTTTAAAAAATATGTGTCTCATAATAAACCATTTTATTAAATTTTAAGTAAAAAAACAAAAAATAATAAAAAAATAATAAAATTGAAATTTAAAAGGATTTTCTGATGACGACTTTTGCAGATAATGAGGGGAAAAAATTAAAAAGAGATGACGAAATATGAGCATGAGTATATATCTTATTTTTTATGTGTAAATTAACAAGTTGTTTTGACTTAAAAATAATTGAAAAAAAAGTTTTTTTAATAAGCTAAGCTTTATATAAATTTAATTTTAAAAGTGATAGCTTTTCAATAAACAAAATTTAATTTTAAAAATATGACGGGGGATTGAAAATTAAAAAATAATTTTTGTGTATTTTTAATGGAGTTGGTTTTGGATCGGTTAGGATCTGGATCCGGACCTGGATTTTTGTTTTACTGGATCCAGAGTCAAAATCTCAGTGTATTTAGTGGAGATGGTTCTGGCTCTTGATACAGACCTGAATTTTTCTCTTACTGGATCCAGAGTCAGGATAAAGGAATTTTTTTTAGTGTTCTACAGGTTTTTCCTGATTTTTCCTCGACTCAAGGTCAAGAGTAATAATTGCATCAAGAACCTTGAGTCAAGTTTTTTTCAAGAAACTCAAGGTCAAATCAAGGTCAATTTCAAGATTCTCAATGAAAAATCAAGAAGCAAAGTCAAGGATTTTTTAAATTTTCGATCTCTAATTTTTAATATAAACTTTATTGCTATTTTATAAAAATTCAGGGAGGAAAATTAAAAAAATAAATCCTTCAAAGAATATTCAATTCTTGACTTGGATTTTTATAAATTTTTTCTTTTTTTTCAACTAAAAAAATAATTAATTTATTTAAATTATTTAAAAATGCAAATTTTTCCCGTCACTAAAAACGTCAAATACTTCAAAGATTATAACAATAATTGCTTCATTTTAATAAAAAAATTCTGAGAAGTCGAATAAATTAACAAAAAAAATTGTAAAGGTATTCCTTTTAAATACGTGCATTTTTTAACTATTATTAGCTAAAAATAACGAAGTAAAGTATAAAAAAAAGGAATTATTAAAATGTATTGTTTTAACTATAAAAAATATTAAAATTGGGGAAAAAATTGAGGAAATCGAGGAAAAATCCAAAAAAAATTTTTTTAGCCTCTTTTTAATCCTCTAACCCTTTTTAGTGTTACATTTTTGGTCTTCCTTCCGTTACCTTTATTAAATCCGAAAAATTTTATTTTAAAATAAAATTGTAAAAATTGACGTATTTTTAAGTCCTGTAAATTTTCGTGATTATTTTTAATTAAAATAATATTTATTTAATTTTAAATGTTTCCATAAAGAATGTTTTTTGTTTGACTAAAGATTGGGAATTATAATTAAATATTAGTTAACTATAAGTTAACTATTAGTTTTTGCTTTTTTTAATTTGTAGTTTTTATTTAAAATGTAAAAAGAAACACAATAAGAATAATTAAATTTCAAAAAGCAAGAGTAATTACAAATTGTAATCTAGTAAAGCAGAGCTGAAGTATAACTACATATTTCTCTCCTTTAGCTAGTGCAAAAGGTTAAACGGAAGCTGGGAGCGAACCAGCATCTTCAGTAGACCGGACTGATGTGCACCACGCCGCCTACTGCAAAGCCGTAGGATCGGAATTTACTAAATCGGACTAAATCGGAATTTACAAACTTTCCGGAAAAACATCAAAGAAAGATTATTTACAAATTGTAATTTGTAATTTTAAAAATTATTCTTTTGTGAAACTTGGTTCTGTAAACTTTCCGGAAGAAATTTGTAAACAGTAAATTTAAGATTGTAAAATACTAAATTAGAATTTAATAAACTTTCCGGAAAAACAACTTTGCATTTTCCCGGAAAGTAATCCATAAATAAATTATTTTACAAATTGTAATTTGAATTTGTAAAAATGATTGTTTAGTGAAACTTGGTCTTGTAGATCTTCCGGAAGCAATTTAAGATTGTAAAACACTAAATCAGAATTAAATAAACTTTCCGGAAGAACAAAAAAATTTCCAGAAAAAAACATTTTATAAACTTGAAACAAAATACACTAAAAAATTAAACTTGTTTCCCTATGCGTGACATTTGAAGACCAAAATACATCTATCAAGTCTATCACGTTATTTCCTGTAAGGTTTAATAATTTATTTTTTTTAGCTAATTTCCAATTTTGGAATTAATATACTTTTGTTCTTTTTTTTCTCATAATTTTCTCATAATTTTTTTTTATTTCAATATTTCCTCTAATTTTTATCAAAACACAATTAACAAAAAAAATTGCGCAAAGCTTGTAGCTTAAATAAAATCGTGAGAATATTCCAAAAAAGTTTATAGAAATAATTAGAAAATTAAAAAAAGTCAAGTAAAAACACCACAAAAACACTCTCTCAAAGATTATTTCCTGCGCAACATTCTCCCCCGTCTCGCATCACTTTTTCTATTGAGATGGCGTAATTGCTAGTTTATTTAGCATTTTAGCTTAATTTGTAGACAAAAACAAGATATATTTAAATAAAGATTAAAAATAATTGAGAATAGTTTTTGCAAAAATAGACATTTAATTTACCTGCCTGATAATAGTATTTATAAGCAACAATTGTTTATAAAAAATAATTAAATATTAAATAGGTAAATATTAAATGGAAAAAAAAGAATAATAAAAATATGAATAAATTAAAGTTTACAATCCTTCCGGAAAGAAAAATAAATATAGTAATTTATTTTACAAACCTTCCGGAATTAAATTACAAATTGTAAATTGAGTCATCCGGAAAGAAAAAAGAAATATATAATTTATTTTAAATATTTTTGGAAGAAAAAAAAGAAATTGTAATTTGAAATCTTTCCGGAAAAAGAAAGTAAAATTATGCGTTTTAAAATCCAAAATTGAAGAAAAGATTGAAGAAAATAATAAATGTAAAATTTTTAATCTACTTCTCGATGATTCTACAATCAACATAAATCGAATTTGCTTTCTACATATAAATAAAAAATATTATCTTTTAATTTTAAAATTTTTTACAGTCCATAGAAAATTGAATAAGAATTTGTAACCTTTCCGGAAGCAATTTGAAGTTTTGACCAGACTTGGTCACGGACACCGATTTTGGTATCCGTATCTGGATATTTACGGCTGATACAGACGGATACAGGCGGATATCCGCAAGCATTTTGGTATTATCAGTATCCATATCCGTACCCATGTCCTAGTCTGGTTTTGACTTTCCGGAAATTTATTTATTAAATTTTAAAACAAACAAACTTTTATAATTGTTCATCACAATAAAAATCATCATAACCCTCCTCGCTTTTAATAAAGTCCTCTTCGTTTACTTCATTAATTTGAATCCCTTTATTTTTTAAAATCTTTTTTCTAATTTCTTGTCGTTTTGGTTCCCTATTTTTAAATTTTTGTTTAATTTCCGACTGATTTCCCTGATCAATTTCTACAAATTTTTTAATTTCCTCCCATTGTTCCTTTTTTGTTGGGCTGGCTTAAAAACATTTTTTGTCAAAAAAAAATTAAAAAAAAAATTTTAGAGACTGTAAAAAAATTTTATTTGAAATTTTTGAAATTTTTTGGGGCTTAAAAAAAATTTTTTTTGGGGTCTTAAAAATTTTTTTAAAATACTAAAAAATTTCCTACATTTAATAATAGGATTCTTAAAAGGAGAAGAATCTTTTCCTTTAATTTTTTTGCCTTTATCCTTCCCCTGAGCCTCAATCTCGTTTACTTCAATAATTAAAATAATAAATAAAAAAATTAAAATTAAATTAGCTTTAAACATTTTTTTGAAAATTTTATTTGAAAAAAATATTTTTTTTCTCTCTTAAAAATTAAAAATTTTAAATTTAAATTTAAAATTAAAAATATTAAATTTTAAAATTAATTTTTAAAAATTAAAAATAAAATTAAAAATAACCGTTTAAAAAATAAATTAAAAAATAACATTTGATAAAGCCATAACACAACTACTACATGCACTCTTTATTTAAAATTCTCTTTAAAAAATTTTTATATTTGTTTAAATTTGTGTTTTGGCCGAGTAAAAAGCGGCATTCCCTTTTTACATTTTAAAGTGCTAATTAAAAGTGCAAGAAAAAAATTTATTTTTAATTTTATTTAATTAATAAATTAATAAAAAAATATTAAAAAAATATTTTTATTTAACAAATAAAAATTAAAAAAGTTGAGTTTAAAGTTGCAAAGTTTCTAATTTTAATTTTTTATTCAAATTCCCCGGATAAAATTTTTAAGGGACAAAAAAGGGATATCAGTGTGTTTGGAGAAATATTGAGGATTTGAGAAATATTGCTTCTAATATATTTAATAATTTTCTGGAACAAGCTACTACAAAATAATTTTAAAAGTAAAAAATAAATTAAATATATGTAAATATTTCCCGAATAAAAATTTTTATACAATGGTTGTGCTAAAAACAATAATTAATAGATAATAAATACATAAATAATTTAGCCAACTTTAATTAGAATAAATAATTAACTGTGTCATTAACAGAGGTGACTCGGAAATGATGAAGGTGCCGGAAATCGGAACTGGCTCAAAAGTCGGAACTCGGAAATCAGAAATGAAGTTTTTTTCGGAACTCGGAATTCCAGCCCACCTCTGGTCCTTAATGTATTTACACGTCTTCACAAATTAATATCCTCCGCATACATAAATTATTAAAATAATATTTTTAAATTCAATTTTTAATTTAAAATTTCTCATATATTTCCAATTCCAACTTAAAATTTCTCAAAAAATATTTTCTTCATCTTCATCACAAAATAAATAATCCTCCTCCTTCTCATCACACAAATACATATCTTCCACCTTTCTTAAAGTATCATTATCGTAAATACAGCTATCATTGGAATCTTGTGAAGGGATTTCCTCAAAATTAAAATTATTTTCTTCATCCTTTTTTACTTCTTTTTCTTCCTCTTCCCTTTTCCTCTTCCCATTTTTCTTCCACACTTTTTCCAATTCCTTCCTCTGCCTTTCTTCTTCCCCTCCCTTCCACCAAACCCCTTCCTTCTTATATTCCTCCTCCATTTTCTTTCTTAATTTTCGTCTTTCTCGCTTTCTTCGCATGTCATTTTGAAGCTCTACATGATCAGTATTTTCTACACCATCTTCAATTTCGTCAAAATTTACTTTATCTAATTCTCCTTTTAATACTCGGATCTTCTGAACATCTTTACCGGTTATTTTTTCCTCAAATATTGCCTTATTAATTCTTGCTCTTTTAACTTAATTTTTAAAAAATCTTAAAATTATGTTTCTAGTTTCATTGGAAAAACTTTGAACTCGCAAAGAAGGACCGGAAGCTCTCTGAGAGTTGCTTATTGTCTAAGGTTGTGACGAGGGGAGATTGAGGGGTCCGAAGGCTCCTTCCCGAATCTACGATGGCTCCTTCCCTCCAAATCGGAGAGAAGGATGGAGGATGGAGAAGGATGGGGAGAAGAAAAGGAGGCTTTTCTTCCTTTCCTAGAGCTCCTTTCCCGAATCTGAGATGACTCTTTCTCGCTGAGAAGGAAGGAAGAAGGGAGGAGGAGGAGAGAATGAGGTTTTCCCTTCTTTCCGAGGGCTCCTTTCCCGAATCTGCGATGCTCCTTCTCTCCTTCCCTCCAAATCTGAACTTGAAACTTGGCTATCTTCCAAACAGGAGATGATAGAGGAAGACTTCTATTTAGAAGGAAAATTTTTTTTAATTAAAAAAATTTTTCCAAACTTTTAAATTCATTGGTGGTAGGACCCGTCTCTCCATCGGACCATTCTTTCTCTTCAATTTCATTGTTTCTTGTGTCCATTATATTTTTTCCTCTAGATATATCCATTCCCTCATTCAAATAAATTTGTAAATAAATAAAAAGGAAAATTAAAAAATAATTTTGAATTTTAAAATATTTACGGGAATTTAACATTTTTTTAATTTTAAAAGGGTAATTTAAAGGGTAATTTAAAGTTTTATTTTTAAAAAAATTTAAAATAAAAATTTAAAAATAAAAAAATAATAATAACAATAAACACTTTAAAAAGGGCAAATTTAAATGGACAAAATTGCACTTTTTAATTTTTAGTCGAACCCATGAGAAGCACATGCATTAAAGGATAAATAAATAGGGGGGATAGGGCAAGGGCATCTTTGATTTTTAAAATTTTTTTTTGATTTTTTCTTGCACTTTTAAAATTTAATTTGTGTGTTTTGGCCGAGAGCGGCTTTTCCTTTTTTAAATAAATAAATAATAAAAAAATTAATTAATTTAATTATTTATTTTTAATTATTAACGTCTTTAAAGTACATGTTTCTTGTTTTTAATAATTTTTTTTTGAAAATTTTAGGTTCCTAACTGGTACAAATTGAAGCAAAAATGAAATATAAATAATAATATGATATTTTTATTAATTAATTTTTATTTTTTAAATTATTTTTGTTATTTTTACAATTTTTTAATATTTTTTTCATATTTGCTTCTTTTTGAGGGAAAAAATAAAACAAACATTCAAACGCGTTAACAGCGTTGTCAAACAATGTTAATATGTTTATTTATATATTTTCCTCTCCCCACTTGATTGATAATTTTTACTTAAAACTCTCAAGTTTGTTTTTCCAGTCTCTCAGCGAGAGACTAGTTTCCTGTCCCTTTTCCAGTCCCTCAGCCAAAGATTGAAAAAAATCAAATTTAGTTTCAGAAAACAATTTTATTCTAGAAAACAGCAAAGTTTAAAATATATCCTTCCCGAATCTATAAATAATTTAAATAAACAAAAAAGGTGAATAATAAGGTATCTTGTTTTATCTTTATGTTTTTCTAATCATCATTTTAATATTTCCTCCATCCTCCAAATATATATTTGGTACTTATCCGTTGGTACTAGTGTTCATAAATTTCAATTTTGCTCGTTCTCGTACTTCGTACACTTGCTGTACTCTACTTCGTCCCAAAGTACGAGTACGAATTCTGGTACGAGCTTATGAACACGGGTTGGTACTCACCCATAAATTGAGTGCCAGCCGACTTTGATTGGCTATAATTTTTTAATAGATGATCAGACTTGATCTATCCAATTAGAAAAAAGATGTCGCTTATAGAGGGCTTTCGAATGATAATAAGATTCATTTGGATTGGATTAAAAATTTATAGCTGATCAAAAAGTATTGGATCAAGTATTGGATCAAGTATTGGATCAAAATTAGTATTGGATCAAAAAAATTTTTAATATATTTGCGGGTGTGTAAACGGATAAATACCAAATCTTTAGAATAATATTTTTAAAATAATTTTGAATTAAAGAATCTTTTTTTTCTTTCCCATTAATCCCAATCAACATCCTCTTCATCACACAAAAACTCATCACAATTCTCGTTACAATTAAATATATCCCCATTATTATTCCTCAAAACATCATTATCATAAATACAACTTTTATTAGACTCCTGGGAAGGAATAAACTCATTCTCCTTTTCTTCATCTTCCACTCCATCCCCCCTCTTCCACACTTTTTCCAATTCATTCCTTTGCCTTTCTTCTTCCCCTCCCTTCCACCAAACCCCATCCTTCTCGTATTCTTCCATCAATTTCTTTTTTAAAATTCGCCTTTCTCGACTTCTTACCATTTTATTATGAATTTCAGCTTCATTTCTATTTTCATAATCATTTTTAATTTCGTCAAAATTTACATCAAATAATTCATCACTTAATTTTTTCAATTTCGGACTATTTCTATTTTTTATTGTTTTCTTAACTATTTTCTTTTGAAGTTCCCTTCGTTTAGCTTAAATTTAAAATTAAAGCAGAGCAGAGTGAGCTATAGATATTTCCCTTCTTCAGCTGGTTCAAAAGGTTATTCGGCGGGTGGGGGTGAGCCAGCACCTTCAGCAGTTGACAGGACTGGTGTGTTATCCACTACACACGTCGCTCCTGCACAGCTTTAACGAAGAAAAAACCTTCAGGAGCTCCCTGAAAGTCACACATTGTTAACTATTGATGCTGAACATCTGTGAAAATTATAGCTGAAAAAGACTGTAGGGGCTCCTTCCCGTCTAATCGGAACTTGGAACTTGACTTGGAACGAAAGGGGAACGGATCATTCATTTCAGAATTTTTTTAATTAAAAAAATTCCAAAAACCTTTATACGGACTGGTATTAAGACCCTTCTCTCCATCAGACCATTCTTCATTTTCATTTTCTTCCATTATATTTTTTCCCTTATTTATATCCATCCCCTCATTTAAATAAATTTGTAAATAAATAAAAAAGAAAATTAAAAAATAATTTTGAATTTTAAAATATTTTTTGGAATTTAACATTTTTTAATTTTAAAAGGTTTTAATTTTATAAATTTATCTGGAAAATTAAAAAAAATTTAAAAATAACGAGTAATAATGAAGATAAATTTAAAAAAAGGGCAAATTTAAATGGGGAAAATTGCACTTTTTAATTTTTTTACGAGGCCCATGCGATCCACAGGCATTCATAAGTATTGGGAGATAAAGGGGGGAGGGGGAGAGAGGGATGGGGAAGAGGGAGAGATAGGAGGGGAGGGGAGGGGGAGAGAGGGGGAGAGATGGGAGGGGGAGAGAGGGGGAGAGATGGGAGGGGAGAGAGGGGGAGAGGGAGAGATGGGGGAGGGGAGAGATGGAAGGGGAGGGGGAGAGGGAGAGGCTAGAGGGAGAGAGGGGGGAGGGAGAGAGCGAGAAGTGCATCTTTGATTTTTTAAAATTTATTTTTGATTTTTACTTGCACTTTAAAAATTTATTTTGTGTTATGGCCAAGAGCGGGCTTTCCTTTTAAATAATAAAAAAAATTTTTTATTTTTTTCTTGCACTTTAAAAATTTATTTTGTATTTTGGCCAAGAGCGGCAAGTACTTTTTTAATAAATAAAAATTTAAAAAATTAATTAATTAAATTATTTATTTATCTATACATATTTAACGTCTTCTTTAAAGTATTTCCTAATTTTAATAATTTTTTTTGAAAGTTTCAGGGTTATAATTGACGCAATTTGAAGCAAAAATGAATTATAAATAGTAATATAATATTTTTATTAATTAATTTTTATTTTAAAAATAAAAATATATACAATTCTTATTTTGTTATTTTTACAATTTTTTTTATTTTTACTATTTGCTTCTTTTTGAGGGAAAAAATAAAACAAACATTGAAACGCGTTAACAGCGTTGTCAAACAATGTTAATATGTTTATTTATTTTTCCTCTCCCACTTGATTGATAATTTTACTAAGACCTCTCAAGTTTGTTTTCTTATAAACTTAAGTTTTGAGCATTTGCAAAATAAACTTTAAGATTTGTCAATAATTTACAACTGCTTAAGAGAATGCTTAAAATAGGGGAAAAAACAAGTTTATTTAAGTTCCGGAAAAATTACAATTCTAGTATATACCCTTTACAAAAAGGTTTACAAACTTAAGTTTATTATTTTAATTTTAATAAACTTGAATTATAAAAATAAACTTGAATTGTAAAATTCCGGAAATTTTCCGGAAAACTTGAATTGTAAAAATATTAAACTTGAATTGTAATTGTATTTGTTTTCCGGAAAGTTTCAAGTTTCTTTTAATTCTTCCGGAATGAATAATTCCCTTAATTTATTTAAACTTGAATATTAATTAAACTTGATTAAACTTAAGTTTGTAAACTTAATTTAATTTTTTATTCATTTATAATTAATTACTAAAATAAACTTGAATTGTAAAATTCCGGAAGTTTGTAAATTAATTTTTATTTCTTTTCCGGAAGGGTTTTATATTAATCCTGATGTATTTAAACTTAATTTAATTTTTAAACCTGATTAATTATTAAATTAATTAGGTTCAAAATTAAAACTTATTATAATTAGAGATCGACCCTAGACTAGATCTCAATCAAAAATCTCGGTTATCGAAGTCGAGAATTTTTTTAAGATTCTCAATTTTCTTAAGACCCTCCCAGTCCGATCTCTAATTATAATTTTTAATTCATCAATAAATTAATTACTGAAATTTAGTAATAAAGTTTAATAATCAAACTTTATTAAAATAGTATCGCAAACATAAACGTTCTTTATAACAATTAAAATTAATATTACACCATTTAATTTACACAATTAAAGTTTTGATTAATTACCTTCTAATTTTATTTTTAAAGGGGTTTTAATTATTTTTAATTTAATCATTATTTAAATAAATTTTAAATTCTCAAAAATTATTTTTTCCTTGATTGTCTCATATATTTTGAGTTAAATCATTATTATTTTTATTTTTATTTTTTTTTGTTCCACTCATTTTTCACATGCAATATAGCCATTATTTTTGTTTTTTTTTGTTGCGCGGAGAAGTTTGATTAGCGCGCGTGTCTCCTCGTAATATTCTTCGACCAATTCGCTAAATCATTCAGAAAAAAGTCAAAAATAATATTGACCAGTTATTTATTTATTTTTGTTTAATTTTCTGTTTAATTTCTTCTTTAAAAAATTCTTTAAAATTAAAAAATTTTTTGGCGCTGGTCTAGTTTATGCGTTCAATGAAACTTTATGAGTCCAATCAAAAAATAATTGAATTTTTCATGGTGTTGCAAAGTTGGGGTATCTTCATCTTCGGGACCTACGCCCACTGGGTCTGGGACCATTCCTTGCCCTATCCCTCGAAATTTCGGAAAGTTATAATTTTTAAAAATTGGCTATAACTTACCGAAACTTCGAGGGATAGGGCAAGGAATGGTCACAAACCCAGTGGGCGTAGGTCCCGAACATGAAGAAATGTTTTGGAACCATACCCCAACATTGCAACATCATGAAAAATCCAATTTTTTGTTGATTGGACTCATAAAAGTTTTATTGGACGAATAAACTAGACCAGCGCCAAAATTTCTTTAAAATTCTTTATAATTAAAAACAATTTTTTCTCTCAAAAATATTTATTTTTTTTTAATTTTTAAATACACACTCGACTGAATAATGAACTCAAATTAAATATTAAATTCATGTAAATAAAATTTAAATCACTCAAAAAAAATTTTTTTTATTTAATACACAATTACTTTTAAAAGTACATATTTTTATTTCCTCGTATAAACTAAAATAATGCGCAACATAACAATTGATTCAATATTTTTTAATAAATATTTAAAATAATATTTATTATATAGGATTATTTATTAAATTATTTAAATGAGGGTATAACAGAAAAAATAAAAAAAATCATGCTTATGCTTAGTAAACTTTTTATTTAAGAGTAAGCTTAGTAAGTTTACAAAAAGTTGGTAAACTTTAATTTTTTACAATCTCAAGTTTTCCGGAAAACTTTTGTAGTAAATAAAAAAAACCTTTCCGGAAAGGATAACTTTACTAGTGAAATATTTAATACAACCGGAAAAAGTTTTGCGAACTTTCCGGAAGGCCTTTGTAAAACAAGTTTAATTTAATTTACAAACAAGTTTTCCGGAAACTTTTATAATAAATAGAAAATAAACTTTCCGGAAGGCTTTTGTAAAACAAGTTGGATAACTTTACAAGGTTGAACTCTATTACAACCGGAAAAAGGTTGCAACCTAAGTTTGCGACCTTGCGACTCTTCCTGAAAGCTTTTGTAAAACAAGTTTAATTTAATTTACAAACTTGAGTTACCGGAAACTTTTATAGTAAATAGAAAAATAAACCTTTTCGGAAAGCCTTTTGTAAAACAAGTTGCAATACTTTACAAAGTTTAAATCTTCATTACAACCGGAAAAAGGTTGCAACCCTAACCTTAAAGTTCGCGAACCTTTCCGGAAAGCTTTTGTAAAAACAAGTTTTTAATTTAATTTACAAACTTATGTTCTTTCAGTACATTTTTCTAAAAAAAAACAATACATAGTTTGTATTTATTCATTTTTATATTTACATAAATTAATTTAGTACATTTCCGGTTAGAAAAATATGAAAATACACATATTAAAAATTGACGAGAATATTATTTGTTATTATTAAACACTTTAATAATTTCGTAAAAATAATAAAAATTTATTTTATTTATTTTTAAATTAATTTAAAAAATAATTAAAAAATATTCCAAAAATTAGGGTAAAAATGTTAGTTGATTTTCCTCCTCCAAATAATTTAAACACCAAAAATGGAGATAATAGAATATACGAAACTGATGGGCATTTAAATTTATTAAATAAAAATCAACAAAATTTGGTGGTGTTTAATAATACTAAACAACAACAAGTATCAAAACAGTCGAGACAAAATTTTATTTTTTGTTTTTGTAAAATTTGTGGATATAGATATATTATTTTATTGCTCACGGTGAGCGACAATTTTTGATTACTTGTCAAAAAAATTTTTTAAAAAATTAAAAAAAAATTTTTCAAGGCCCTCTGCCTTACTTCAATCTGTTCAAATATGATAGTCTTTAATTTTACTTTAATATTAATGAAAAGACCAAATTGGGAAAACACAACACTGTTATCTATTAACTCGTCAACTAAAATTAAAGTAAAAAATAAATTTTAAAATTAAAAAAAAATTCCAATAATTAGGAAGAAGGCCCTTTTGTTGTTTTTAATGAAACGCATATTATGCCTAAAAATGTGCCCTATACTCAATCAGAAAAAGCTCAATTACAATATGCTGTAAGCTTATAATTTCATATTTATTAAAACTTTTTACAATTGTAAAACATATTTAAATTGTAAATTAACAACTTGACAATAAAAACATTAGACAACAAAGTTTTACAAACACAAATGTTCATTTAAAACTTTATCCACTAAAATTACAATTGTAAAATATGTTTTTAACAAAGTTGTAAACTAAAACTTGTTTGCAACTTATCTACAGCATTATTACTTTGTTTGTTCCAAACAAGTTGTACATATTTAATAAAAATGTTTTGCAAGACATTTAAAACTTGTTTATTTGTTGACAAACATGCTCGTTTATAAAACTTGTTTGTTTGTTCACAACAAAATGTTTTTACAAAAAACATTTTACAAAACATTTAAAACTTGTTTGTTTGTTGACAAACATGCTCGTTTATAAAACTTGTTTGTTTGTTCACAACAAAATGTTTTTACAAAAAACATTTTACAAAACATTTAAAACTTGTTTATTTGTTGACAAACATGCTCGTTTATAAAACTTGTTTGTTTGTTCACAACAAAATGTTTTTACAAAAAACATTTTACAAAACATTTAAAACTTGTTTGTTTGTTCACAAAACTTGTTTGTTTATATGTTTTTACAAAATTAATGCTTTTACCGAATGTTTTACAACTTAAAAACTTTATTTTAAATAAACATTTGTTTTGTTAAACATAGGTTGGAATAGCCAGTATAATTTCAACATTCCCCTTTTCAATGTTATATACAAAATTCGGTGCCCGTTTTGTATTTTTATCAGCTGGGATACTTTCAACAATATCTACAGCATTATTACCCTTTGCTGCATCTAAAGGGATGATTGCATTTACATTTATTAGATTACTTCAAGGTTTTGCTTATGGGGCCAATTTTGCAGCCATTGGTTTTGTCTGTCATCGGTGGGCTACTTTGCAGCAACATGGATTCTTTTTGTAAATTCTTAAATTTACTTTGAAGGAAAATCTTTTAATAAATCAGAGCCTGTATGACTACATTTACCTCTCTTTCTGTTACTTTGACTAACCCTGTTGCTGCATTTGTAAGTTTATTTTAGAGTAGCAACCCGACTCCCGATACTCCCACCCCAACGATATTTTTGGCAAAAACCCCGACAGAGCTCTACCCCGACAAACACCGCTCCCGGACGCAAATCCCATGTCGGGAAAAATTTAAAAAAGTATACACCCCTAAAGATGGAATTCTTTGGGAATTTTTCGATCATTTGAATTCCCAACTAACGTTTGGAAAGATATCCCCAAAATGTCGGGAGTTACCCTATTTTTAATTTAGAATTGTAAAACTTTATATTTTTCTTTAAATTTAGATAAGTTCTGTGCCTTCTTTGGGTTGGCCATGGGTCTATTATGGTAATTTGCCTTGTCCTAAATCCAAAAAATATTTTTCTTAAAATTCAGTCCATGCATTAGTCTCTCCAATACTTTTTGGATTTTGGTTGTTTCTTTATACTGACCATCCTGACACCCATCCTTGTGTCAGTCAACGGGAGAAAGATCAAATTCTGTCGGGCAAAACTGAGGCAGAAATTGGGATTAGTGGATTTATGCCTTATCGGTAAAGAAATTTTTTGAGGGAAAAAGGTTCCCCAAACCCCAAAAATATTTTTAGAGCAATTCTTTCAAATAAAACTGTGTTGATTGTTTGGCTTAACTCATTTGCGGATATCGTCACGGCCGTATTTTTAATTACTTATTTGCCTACTTATGTTTCCAAAGTTCTTCGTTATGGTGTTAGGGAAACTGGCATTTGGTCTGCTGTACCTGCCCTTTTACATATTCCGGTTAAAGTTGGTTCTGGGTGGTTAGCTGATAATATGAGGTAATGAGAGTTGGTGTTTTAGTAAAATGTATGCTTAAATTAAATTATGGAGTCCACGAAGACCTACACAAAGATATACGGCCCTGAAACTTTACAAATTTTGGAAGGGAATATCGAGGGATTGAGAAGGATTAGGTTGATAATTACTCAACTGTTAAGTACCCAGTTATGTACTCTAGAATCCATGGTCCAGTATTGCAAGTGTGTACCATAACTTTGGGTGTGTAAAAATCTCTATCCCCATCAATTACCCCAAATACATCAATATCCCCTTAATCCCTCGACATTCCTTTTTTGAAATTATCCTTCAACAATTGTCATTCTCAAGGGTTTATTCCAAATTCTGACATATTTTTTATCATTTCGTCAAAATACTCATTTCCTCAACTTAATACAGTAATCTTTCTCTCAGATGTATGAGCGAAATTGGTCGAATGCGCCTTTTCAATTCAATAGCTTTAGTAGGCTCAGGCATTGCTTTTGCATTAGTCGGTTTTGTACCAGATGACAAACGTTTTCTAGCAGTTATTTTAATGACTTTAAATTTTGCTTTGGTCTCTACGAATTGTGGGGGATTTTATAAATGTGCTACTTTGATCAGCAGGTCGGGAAAATTGAAAAAAATTTTCAAAAAATTTTTTCAAAAATAAAATTTCTAGACAATATGCTCATTTCGTTGTTGCTGGTATACAATTCGAAAAATCCATCACCCTTTTTGTCTCCCCATTAATATTTCTTTTGTTTATTCGGGATGAAAGTAGTCGAGAACAATGGAGGAATGTTTTTATTGGAATGGCTATAATACTTTTTGTGGTAAAAATTTCAGAATTATTCAAAAATAAAATTCTGATTTTTTAAAGGCGAATACTTTCTTTTGGTTCTTTGTAACTGACCAACCAGCAGAATTCACCAAAATTGTATCTAAACAAAAATCAGAAAAACAACAACAAAAACAAAACAATTTATTTAATATAAGTAAAACAGATATTTAATGTTTTGAATTTTTTGTAATTAATCTTTAAATTTTAATAAAATCAGAATTTAATTAAAACATGCTTAGGGAAACAAAATTAAAATCAGAATTTGTTTAAAACATGTTTAGGAAAACAAAATTAAAACCAGAATTTATTTAAAACAAACTTAAGTTCAGAATTTAGTTAAAACAAACTTAAAACTTAAACAAACTTAAAATCAGAATTTGTTTGAAACAAACTTAGTATAATCAGAATTTAATTATAACATCACTAAAATCAGAATTTAATTAAAACAAATTAAAACCAGAATTTATTAAAAACAAACACGAAATCAGAATTTAATTAAAACAAGCTTGTAGCTAGTTGAAACAAACAAACATTGTTTATAATTTATTTAAATATTATTTTCAGAATTTTTATTTAATTCTAAAATAATTATTTAACAATTATTAAAACCCCTTAAAATTAGCTACAAAAAATTATTAAATTCTTTTTTTTATCACAATTATTTTATCATAAAATTGATAAGACAAAAAATAAATATTTATTGCCCATTTTCCAATAAATTAAATATAAATATTTTCTCCGAACAAAAATTAAATTTTTTTAATTTATTAAATGGATATATTAATTGATTTTGTTTCCCAGTTTATCCAAAATAGGCACGAGGATGATCACTTTGACAGATTAAATTATCAAATTACCCCGTTCCTTTTCGTCTTGCTTTCTCTTGTTAATATATCTAAGGTCTTATTTTTTGTTGAAAAATTTTTGAAATTTTTTTTGAAATTTTTTTGAAAATTTTTCAAAATTTTTAAAATTCGAAAAATCATCATTTTAAAGCTCTATATTGGCTCAGCCATTAATTGTTTTGCCAAAGCAGAATTTAAGGAAGGCTGGGTACAATATACAAATGATTATTGTTTAGTAGAAAATACTTATTATATTAGGTAAATTAATTAATTTTTTATTTTTTAAAATTAAATTTAAAGAAGCGATGAAAGAATTCCGTTACAAAAAGAATTGAGAAACCGAGAAAGAATTGCTTATTATCAGGCATGTTGTAATTGTAAAACTTGTTTGTTTTAATATGTTTTATATGTTCTGTTTTATGTTCGTTTCGATTTTCTCTTTCCAAACAAGTTTCCAACCTTTTCCAACATGTTTTAATTGAAAAAAAACAAGCAAAACATAGACATAAAAATAAACTTGAATTAAAACATTGATATAAACATTACAAAAGCAAACAAAGTTAAACTTGAAAAACCTTAATTTGCAACCTTAAAACAAACATTTAATAAACAAATGTTCAATGAACTGAATTATTAGGTAAAAACATTTTAAAAAATTTAAACCTGTTTTTACTATAATTTTTGAAGAAAATAATTTTTAAAAAATATTTTCAGTGGGTTCCATTTATTTTAATCCTTCAAGCATGTTCTTTCTACATTCCCCATCTTATTTGGAGATCCTTTAATTGGCTAAGTGGTTTTCAAGTTAAAGCTGTTGTTTCTGCATCTAAAGGTGAATCTAATTTGAATTTATTTAATTAAAATTTATATTTAAAATTAAAATAAAGAAGTTGAACAACAAACAAATGATGAAGTAACTAAAATAATAGCAAAGTCACTCTTCCACGCTTCACAACAACAACATCAACCGATATGTTTTGTTCGTAAGTTTAATTGTTGGTTTAGTTTCACATTATTCTGTTAATTCTGAACTTGACATAAAAATAAACTTTAATTTAAACATTGTAATAAACTTTTGTAAAAACATTAGGACCTAAACTTGAAAATTAACTTGAAGTTGGAACTTGAAAATAAACTTGAATCAAAACATTAAAATAAACTTGAATTAAAACATTAAAATAAACTTGAAATTACATCTCTAAATAAAACCTAATTTGCAAATTCAAGTTTTAAAATAAACTTGTTTAAAATAAACTTGTTTTTCCTTTAGATAAACAACATTTTGTTGGCTTCCTCTTTCTAACAATGAAATTAGCCTATGTTTTACTCATTTGTTTTCACCTTTGTTTATTTAAATTTTTCATTGGCAATATAGATTTTGCTATTGGAATTTTAGATCATAAAGGAGAATGGAGACAATCAGGTAATTTATTTAAATATTTATTAAAATATATTTTTTCAATTTTAAGGACATTTTCCTCGTGTAACTGTATGTGATTTTAATGTAAGTTTTAAATAAACTTGAATTTAATTAAATAAGCTTGTTTTACAATTCAAGTTTGTTTATTAAATAAACCTGAATTTGTTTTTACAACTTGTTTTTGCAATTCAAGTTTGTTTCTTTAGATAAACTCGAATTTAATTAAATAAACTTGTTTTACAATCAAAGTTTTTTTAAACAAACTTGAATTTGTTTTTTCAACTTGTCTTTATAATCCATGTTTGTTTTTAAATGAACTTTAATTTAATAAACTTGTTTTTACAATCCAAGTTTGTCTATTAAATAAACTTGAATTTAATTAAACTTGTTTTACAATTAAAGTTCGTTTTAATTGTAATAAATTAAATGAACTTGAATTGTAAAACATCAAGCTTATTAAATAAACTTGAAATTAACAAATATTTTTACAATTCAAGTTTGTTTTTATTTAAATAAACTTTAATTGTAAAACATTAAGGTTTACAAATATGCTCAACTTACAAACTTTACCGTTGAATGTGTTTTGCCTCTAAACATGGCTTGTTATTTTATTTAAAGTTTACAAACTTGAAGTTTTATCTTTAAGTTTAATGAAAAAATTTTTGTGTTTTTCTTCTTTTGGCTTTGTTTTTTGCTTTGTTTAACTATATTTTCTATTTGCTTGTGGATTAGTAGAATACAAACTCGAAGACGTTATTTTCACAGACTTTTGAATATTTATGTAATATTTAAATATTTATTTAAAATTTTTTTATTTTTTAAGCAAAATCGAAAAGGATCTTCAACATTAAACCAATTTTCTGAGGATAATGGGAAAACCCCTTTAATCTCCTCAAATATTCCATTCAAAAATAATTCTGTTGATTTGGATTATGGTGGTGATTTAAGAATTGTTTTAGGTTTAATTCAAGATCAGACTGGTAATTTAATAAATATTTTTCAAAGTAAATAATTTATAAAATTTTTAGGACTACTGTTTTGTGCTCATATATTTCATGAAATATGTAAAGTTGTAAGTTATTTGTTTAGAAAAACAAGTTTATTTTCTTAGTAAAATCAAGCATGTTTTTAAAAAACAAGTTTGTTTTAATTTAAACAAACAAGGTTGTTTTCAATTAAAACAAGTTTATTTTTTTAAAATAAGCATGTTTTTAAAATCCAAGTTTATTTTGAACAAACAAGTTTATTTAATTTAGACGAACAAGTTTATTTATTCATTCCAACAAACATGTTTTTAATTAAAACAAACTTTCCTTTGTTATTAACAAACAAGCTTGTTTTTATATTTAATTCAAACAAGTTTATTTTTAATCAAAACATGTTTTTATAATACTATTTATAATTCAACCTTAATTTACAATTGTAAAACATTAAAAACTTTTTTTTATTTGTTTACCTAGCAATTTAAACATTTATTTTATTAAGCGAGAAATGACAAGAGGATTGAATGAAGGGAATACATTTGAAGAACTTGAAGAAAAATAATTTTTTTTTTAATTTTGTTTTAATTTTCTTACTTGTTTTATGTCGCCTGGACAACAATACTTGACAAAATACAAAATTAAAATTTTTCCACACATTTTTATATTTAATTTTTATCAAAAACTTGTTGACCCCTTAAAATATTATTTAAAAAAGACAGAAAAAATATTTTTTCTGGCCATTATTCACCCCACTTCCAGTCGATTCATCAGCTAAAAAATAAAATAGAGGAAATAAGGCTTCTTTTCTTCCTTTTGCTTTCATTTGTCTCTTATTTGGTTCAATAACAGCTAACCCCTAGCGACTAAAAATGAATGTTTTTGTCATTTCCCAACAAAATTAAATATTTAAATATGTCAAAAATTGTTTAAAAAGATTAAAAAAAATTTTTTTCTAAATTAATTTTAATTGAAAAAATAAAAATATGACCATTTCCTATACTGGAGATATTTGTTCTACTCGTTATTGGAGTTTTTTACGAGTTATATTCCGTTGGAGAGGGTCTATTTGGAAGTCTGTATTGACCGAACTATTTATTTGGTTGACTCTATATTATTTAATTATGGCTATTTATGCTACTTTACTTGATGATAAAAGCAAAAAGTTAAAAATTTTAAAAATAAAAAATTTTTCAAAATTTATAAAAATTAATAAAAAAAATTTTTTGATAAAAAAATTAATTTTTCTAGCAATTTTGCTCATCTGGCACAATATACAGGAATTACTGCTGATTACATCCCTCTAACTTTTATGCTTGGATTTTTTGTAAAAATTGTTGTTGAAAGGTGGAATAATATGTTTGCGAACATTGGGTAATTTTATCTTAAACGAAACAAACATTAAAACATCAAAAACATTCTCCCAAACATTCTTCCAAACATTTGTTTTTTAAAGTTTTGTAGACAGTGTTGCCCACGCAGTTTGTTCCGTTGTTAGAGGCAATGATTTAAAAACAACAAAAACAAGGCGGAATATTATGCGTTATTTGTGCCTTATGCAAGTTTGTTTTAATGCTTATACAAAAACAAGTTTTAAGGTTTTGGTACTTAGAGATATAAGTGTGAGAGTGAGGAAGCGTTTTCCTACTATGCAAACATTAATTAGTGCTGGTAAGTTTTTTTGTTTGTTTTAATAAAAACATTAGTCTTTAATATAAAATGCATTGTTTGTTTGAAATTAAGTTTATTTAAAACTTGTTAAAACAAGTTGATTTAAAACAAGTTTATTTAAAACAAGTTTATTTAAAACAAGTTTACTTAAAACATGTTTATTCGAAACAAGTTTATTTTAAAACATGTTTATTTAAAACAAGTTTATTTAAAACAAGTTTACTTAAAACATGTTTATTCGAAACAAGTTTATTTTAAAACATGTTTATTTAAAACAAGTTTATTCAAAACAAGTTTATTCGAAACAAGTTTATTTTAAACATGTTTATTTAAAACAAGTCTATTCAAAACAAGTTTATTTTAAAACATGTTTTAATAAAAAAATAAAAAAATAAAAAAATAAAAAAAAAACATAAAAACATCAAAACATTCTCCCAAACATTTGTTTTAAAGTTTAAAACATACATATACCTTTTAATTCAAGGTTTACTTAAAAAACATGAACAAAACTTAATTGAAGAAATAGGCTATCAATATAATGAACAATTTGGTATTTATTGGTTACCTTATAATTGGATCTGTCAACTTTGTTATCGTTTGCGGGAAAATGGAAATATTGCATCTGATCCTCTTTTGTCCTTTGTTCTTCGAGAATTGAGAGAATATAGGGAAAGATTGCAGACTCTCATTAATTTTGATTTAGTCCCAATTCCGTCAGTAGAAAATAAAATTTATAAAAGGAAAAATAATTTTATTTTACAGGCTAGCTTATCCTCAAGTAGTGTTTATTGCAGTGCGCACTTATTTTTTAATTTGCCTGTTCTCTAGGCAGAAAATTGAAACAACCACAAACAATGTTGATTCATTAAATGTTTTAAAAATAATTTGTTTTAATTGTTTCTAGGGAGAAATGTTTTTCCCAGTGATGACAGTTTTACAGGTAAACATTATGTTTTTAAAACAAGTTTTACAATTATTTAGATAATTACAATTGTAATAACAAAGTTTATTCAAAACAAGTTTAAAACAACATTTTAAAAATAAACTTGTTGTAAACATTAAATGAACTTGATTAAAATTTATTTGTAATTGTAAAAACAGATTTAGTATGAGAAAAAAAGTTTATTTCAAACATGTTTATTTAAAACATTTTTAAAATAAACTTTAAACTTGTTTTTGTTTGTAATTGTAAAACAAGTTTATTTAAAAATTACAAATTAATTATTGTCATTAAATGTTTTACAATTAAGTTTATATTTTATATGGGTTGGACAAAAGTTGCTGAAGCGCTTCTCAACCCTGTAAGAAAATTAACAAGTTGTAAAACAAGTTTATTTTTATAGCTGGGAGAGGATGATGATGATTTTGAAACTTTGTTTGTAATTGAGAGAAACATTGTTGTTTGTTTTTATATTTAATTTTAAAACATGTTTTAAAATAAGTTTGTAATTGTAAAAACAAGTTTATTTAAACATTACAATTTTCATTAAAGATTTCTTCTCTTCTTGCTGACAAATGTTTTAATCAAATACCCGAACAATGTTTGGAAGAAATAGAGGAGAAAAATGTTCATAAACACCCCTCATTAATTAATAAAAATATTAATGAAAACAATAATGTTTTGATTGGTTCTGCTGTTCGAGTAATGATGACTAGTGAAAGGAGGGCGTTTAATAAATGGATGGAAAGTTGGAAATTGTTTCCAAGGTGGTTTTAAAAATATTTTTGGATTTTTTTGGAATTTTTAAGAATTTCCAATATTTTTTAAAATTATTTTTTTAAGGAGGCGTAGACAGGAGACTAAAATAGAGGAAAGAGTGTGTGAGGAAACAATGCCGCTTGACTTGGAAAAATAAAAATTTTTTGTCAAAAATAGTTTAAAAATTAATTAGAAGATCTCAATTACCTCTAATAAAATAATTGGCCTCCAAAATAATTTTTAAAGATAAAATCTTTTAGAGTGACAATTTAATTATAAATAAATCATTTATGTATTTTTTCCCCTCATTTTATTCCCTTAAAAATAAATTTTACAATTCGCGCATTGACAGGTGTTGGAAATAAATTATATTGTTGGTTGTGCTTTCAAAAATAAAAATATTCTTCCCCTTTTGTATAAAAACAATGAATTGTTTTTGTAAAAACAATTCATTGTTTTTATGAAATAAAAATGAGAGAAAATTTAATGCCATAGCAACATGTTCATTAGTTAAAATATTTTTAATTAAAACTTATTGCAACAAAAACAAGTTCAAAACAAAGTTTATTTCCAACAAGTTTATTTTAATTCAAAACAAGTTTAATAAAAATAAGTTTATTTAAAAACTTGTTTACTAAAAACAAGTTTAATAAAAACAAGTTTATTTAAAACATGTTTATTTAAAACCAAACTATTAACAAAAATTATAAAAATTATTTTTAAAATCTTTAATTTTAAATAAAATTTTCTGACCAGAAAGAATTTTGTCAATTTTCTCTGTTGACCATTTGTGAGGCCAATTTCATCTGATGTTAATTTTTTTGCTAGCGGGGAAGTGTCCTCGTCATGGAATTGTATCATATTATTTAGAAATTCCCTTAAATCCAACTATTATATCGGTAATATCACATTATTCGCCATTATTTTATTTATTTTCTCCTTTATTTTTAATTTTCTAAAATGTGCACGAAAACAAAGCTGTACCGAGAATAATTTCTGCTGCCCCCTCACCCCCTCCTCCAGTTTTACTCGGCCAGCGTAGGCTTTAACATGCAGATTGGGACTTATAGCCAGATGCCAAAAAACGTTTTTCGAGGAAAATAAAATAAAATAGTGGCGAATAATGCGATAATAGCACTAAATCAAAACCTTATACTATCTATTTTCTCTTCAAAATCATCAATTTCTTAAATTTTATTAATTTTAATGTTATTTTTATTTTTATCTACCTCCAAACAAAAAAGTTTTAGCCTCCCTGAACGGGTAATTTTCACGGCTTATTATTTTGAAGTCATTCACTAACTAAAAAATACATTTATTACATTAGAAGGTTTAAATTTTGCCTGGAATATTTCACTCTCAGTTAGATAACTAAATGAGGTGATTCTGGACTTTGTTTTCCTCCAATATGGCAGGATAATGTTGTTCTTCTTAAATGGATTTATTTTTATTATTATTATTATTTATTATTAATTATTATTATTTACTAGCGAGGAGACTCGCCCTTCGGGCGAGTCTCTCTCTTTTATCTTTATCTACCTCTATTTTCATGGCTTAATACTTTGCCCAAAAAAGCCGAAAAAATGCCTCGACCGTCGGCCTGACTCGAAAACGGCAACCTTACTTCAAAACTTTTTCAATTTGTTTACATTTTATTTAACTGCCTTTACTTATTCGAACTTGATCTAAAACATATCTTTTTTACTATTTTTTTCCACTTTCATCATTTTGACCTTTTCATTTAAATAAGCAATTTTTTATTCATTTTCTTTCTTAACGCCAAATACAAACATGCGCCGAAATAACCCCTCGGACTTGACCCCCCACAGACACACAGACAGGGATTCAAAAATTATATATAGGATTATTTATTGTTATACCATATTGGTCAAATAATAATCCCGGGTATCTATTGTTTCACTATGGCTTGAGGGGGATTTAATTGAAAGAGTTAATTATTTGAGAGAGAGAGGGGGGGTGGTAATAATAGACATAGATACGTAACAATTTAAAAATATTGTGAGATGAGGAGGAAATATTAGAGAGGGTAATTATTTGACCATATATGGTATTATTCAGGGTTGGGGACGTTTTGGCGCCGTGCCGTTTTGGCGCGAGAACTAAAAACTGGCACTTAGACGAGATCTAAATTCATGAAAATTTTATCAAATCTCCATAACATTCTTGACTACCTCCTCCAGGAATTATATCTTTTTTGATAGGCAACTCACTGTTTTATAAGCTCGCACCAAAACGTCCCAGTCCCATTTTTGATACTTTTACGTAGGGTTGCCAAAATGGCCCGACGCGGACCGCTGATCGAGTCGGGCCTAGATGTTTGGTCCGAAAAAGACTCGTGCCGGCCCGAATCGATAAAAACAAGCCCGAAAAAATGCCTCGAACGTCGGCCCGACTCGAAAACGGCAACCCTACTCTTATATTATAATTTACCGCCAGCCGGTCTCGGAACAGTTTCACATTCCTTCTTTTCATCTTCAAAAGCTTAATCAGGGCTTGCCCATTCATTCCTTCAGGGCCTTGAATTCGACGTCGTAGTTCATTGATGTCGAATAAGTACTTTTCATAAGTAAGTCTGCCTACAATTTTTGCAGAGTAGGGCTTACGACGTGGTGGAGCCATTTTTGTATTTTAATTAATTAATTTAACTAATTCTAATAATTATTTTAAAAAATTAGAAAATTTAAGTACAATTAAAGGTAATCGTGAAGAATTGGGGATACACTTTTAAAAACTTTAAAAATTATTATTTTTTTCTGAACACGAATCCGTTAACAGATTTCTTCAAATATGCTAAGGTTCTGTTGGTCATAACTTTGTTCAAAATCATTCAATCGAGCTCATTTTGATGTCATTCGACTCAGCTCGATGAGCTCTTTCGAATGAGGGGTCATTTGTATAATCGAATTTTTTTGATTACAAAAATTTCCAACCTTCTGGGGTCTGTAACTCGGCCAAATGAAGTCGGATTTCGTTGATTTTGGTGTTTTTCGATTCAGTTCGAGGAGCTCTTTCGAATGAGCTATAAATTATAATCGAATATTTTAACTCAAAATCGAGCTTACTCCCCCCTATGGTTTTTCAATTTTCGGGGGCCTATATCTCTGCGAGTTTTCGTCCACGGCAAAAAATTCTTTCATATTTGAAATCAGCTAGTCGATTACCTATAAAAATAATTTTCAGAAAAAAATATTAATTTTTAAAGTTTTTATAAGTGAGTTCCCAATTCTTCACGATTACCCGATTAAATAAAAAAAATATATAAAAAAATAGTATTTTTTGTTAGTTGTTTTTTACAGCTGTTTTTACATAATATCAATTAATTGATTTTTTTACTTTGGATTTTGTTCTATTTCCAAATTCTATTTCCAATTAATTAGTTTCTTTTCCTTTATTTTTCACTCTCTCTTAATCTTAAAATCTTAAGTTCTTTAGTTAACATTGTTCCATTCTTACCTATCTGTTATCTAAAACCCCCTTTTTCCTATGAGGCAGACTTAATAATTTTTTTCTTTTTCTCTCATTGAATACACCACAGGGAGAATACGCCACAGAGTTTTTCTGTGTCGTCATTTAAATATTTTTTAATAATGTTTTTCACATTTTCAGGATTTACAATGTATTCAATTCTTTCGCTTCTTAATTTTCGTCTAATTTCTTACAATCTTTCAAATCTGCTTTATACGCCAGTCCCATTCAAATCGAATCAAAAAAGTGTTGATTGCCAACAGAGGCGAAATTGCTGTCAGGGTAAAAATTTTTTTATAGAAAATTTATTTTTTTGTTTATTTTAGGTCATGCGAACGGCAAAAATGATGGGAATCGAGGCTGGAGTTCCGGTTATTCAAGAATATAATGGCACAAATCAACAAGAAGAAAATTTGTTGGAAGAGGCAAAACAAATAGGTTCGAATTTTATTTATTAAGGGTACTTATGCCGGTTCTCTCTCCCTTAATTCAGACGCCGACGCAAATTCTTAGATTTTTTCCTTTCATAAATTCACTTTATTTCCTTGTAGCTTTGTTTAATTTTGTCAGTTTCATTCAAGTCCTCTCGTCTTATTGTTAGTGCTAATACTTTGGCTGACCCAATTTTTTCTACATATTGTGCCGTTATAAGGGATTTTAAACTATATATTCAACTTTAATAGTTTGTCAGATTTCGTTGATTTTGGTGTTATTTGACTCAGCTCGAAGAGCACTTTCGAAAAATATATGTTGTGATAAATAAAGAAAAATTGAAAAAAAGTATGAGAAAAAAGGGGGTCGCCATTTATGAACAATTTTATATCCGGAATTGTCGTAAAACCATTCCATGGAAACCTTATTCTAGAAATTAAAAAGGTACCTATGCTGTATTAACTACACACCGCATTTATTCGCAGGCTCAAAAGAGGCTCAAAATGGTCACCCAAACCTATGAGTTGGCGAACCGCTTATGCAAAACCCTGCATTTTATGTGTTAACAATAGGGTGTGTTTCCAGCAAATAAATGAAATGCGTAGTTAAATTGCATAAGTTCCTTTAAAAAATGAGAAATTAAATAAAATTTTCAAAAAAATAAAGAATGATAAGGACTTAATTAAATTAAGATAATGGGAAAGTGCATTGCTTCCCTTGACAATGTTCTGACAACTAGGAATTAATATATAAATTATAAAAATGAAAACAAAATTGAACCGGTTGAAAATATTTTAAAAGAAATACTTCAAATAAATAAAACCGAGTAAGTCGCGGTATATTTAATAGAATAAAAAACAAAGGCTTAGGCCCCCTTTTTCATTTTTTATCAATTAAAGACAATTAAGAAGTAATTTAAGAAAGAGTTAAGAAAGAAAGGAGAGGATATTGAGAAAGATTAAAATTAAAATAAAAAGTGAAGGAAGATTGATTTACTTGAGGAAAGAAGAAAGACTGACCATTCTGTAATAAGGAAAGAAAAGAACTAGTTGGAGAAAAAGGGGCCTAAGCTTAGGTTTTACCAAGAAAATTAATACCGAGAAAATTTTAAAAGAACCAAAGCTTATGGCCCCTTTTTCATTTGTTATTAAAAACAAGTTAAGAAAGACTTTAAGAAAGAGTTGAGAGAAATTAGCAAAGATTAAAGTATAAAATAAGGAAGTCTGACCATTCTGTAAATATGAAGGAAAAAAACTTGGGAAGAAAAAGGGGGCCTAAGTCATGTTCTACCAAGAAAATAATCAAAATAAATTTTTTAAATTTTTTATAGAAAAAGAAAAAGCGCGGTAACTTGAAACAAAGGTGGCGAGATAAGGTTATAAAATATAATATAAAAAATATATAAATAAATTTAAAAATAAATAGAGCCGAAAACACTTGTTGGACTACTAACCCTTCGAGATGGAGAGTGGTTGGAGGCATCTGTAATTGATGCTTATCTACAACACTTATGTTTTGAAACCCCGACCCATAATACTCCTCGAGAGCAGCATCATTGGCCCAACCACATAGTGCAGTATATACCTACATACTGCTTTCTACACTATGTTACGAAGAATAAAAGTATTACCGGCAAATGGTATTGGCAATTTGGAGGTGTGGAGAAAGTCCTTGCTCCATGCCATGTCAACAATAACCACTGGTGTATGGCCATTGCCGAAATTAAGGAGAGAAAAATAACTTTAATGGACTCCCTAAACAACGGGCACACAACTGATAAGAAAAGAGAATTTATGGAAAATTTCTTGTAAAATTAATTCCTAGAATATAATAAGGGTAGAAGGAAAATTTTAGATAATTAAGAGAAAATGGAAAAAATTGAACATCTCTCCCCCCCTCCTCTTCTTTCCTCAAAATTATAAAAATTGTATTTTAAATACGGTAAAAATACGGGTAAGGGTAATCGTGAAGAATTTGGGATACACTTTTAAAAACATTTAAAAACTTTATCCGAGTAAGTATAACTGTTTGAACAAAAAATAACAGTTGGACCAAGTTTAATATTTTGAGGAAAGTAGAGGAGGTGGAGGAGGTTCCGAAAGATTAGTTTAAGAAAATGATAAGAAAAAATTGAGATTAGGAAAAATTAAAAAAATAAATTATTTTTGGATAGAGAATTAAGGGATAGATTATTTTGAGTAAAATAATAAGAAAAAAATATTAAGATTAATGAAAAAACAAAATTAAAAATATAAATTATTATGGATAAAAATTAAGGGACATAATGCTGGTAGCTGCTTTACAATGTAAAGTCGATATTGGCCCGCGGGACTCCTGGACAAGGCTCGAAAATTTTGATGTACCGAGGCAGAAAGGAGGAATTGATTGCGGCGTCTATTCCCTTCTCTACGCCAGATTTGGGATGGCCAATAAACCATTAAATTTTTCGCAGCAGGACATATCTTCTTATCGAAGATTATTCTGTCAAGAATTGACCGCGGCTATTGATTCTCAGAGGTAGAAAAAATTTTTTAAATGAAAACATTTACATTACTAAAATGTAAATGTTAAAAAAACAAAAAATGGAATGTTCGGCAATAAAAATTGCTCGAAGGAAAAAAAATCTAATATTTTTTATTGCTAAGATAGGCAGTCTGTTTATGAATAGGGACAGGGATATCGCTGTGAATGTGCATGTGATTTTTCAGGTTTTTTGATATTATTTACTCTTTTTTCTAGATAACCAACCAAGTCCTGACATCTAAAAGCGATTAATATTTCTTGGTGTGATGGTATACTTGTAAATTTTACTATCTCTTCAAATAAAAATCACCAACAACAGCCTTTAAATCGGTTTATTTTATTTGAAGAATTTTTATTTTTCTCAAGTTGTGAATTATGGCAACAACTTTCTATTTCAATTCAACCTTCTAATGGGTATTTTTTATTTAAAATTTTAATTAAAATTTTTTTTTATTTTTTTAGTGCAAATGGCAATAATCGGCAATTAATCGTCGCTCCAGATTTTGAATTACTTAATCCTTGTATTAAACAACACCTATTGAAGATTATTGTGGTGGAAATGAGGATGACTCTTCTGCTGCTATTTGTAAAAAAGAATTGGGAGAGGTATACGAAATTTCTGATTTTTACGGGATTATATTTGAGATTAACCAAAAAGGACAACAAATAAATGGAGTTGACTTACATGCTGGTAGTAACAATGCTAACTATCCGCAGCTAGAGATATTTCCAGGCATTTGAGTATGAGTTTTCTTCATAGTTGAAATGCTTGCTGCACAAAACTCAGACTCAAATGCCTGAAAATATCTCTAGCTTCGGATAGTTAGCATTGTTACTACCAGCAACAGAGTCTGAGCTCCTGAGATTAACCTATGTTGAATTCCTGATAATTGACCTTATTGTTAGACCCCATAAATTAATTTGTAAGGGGTTCTTTTAGATCAGTTTACCTTATGGGGATCGACCTCAGAATCTTTTTTTCTCGGATTTTGAATTGGACCCATTTTTAAAATGGGACTTTATTGTTATTATTTTCAAGATTTGTATTGCTGAAACATTTCTGTATGCCCTAATGGACAAAAAAGACCTTCAATAGAAGAAAAATGTCGTCCAATTGAATCTTGGCAAATTCCTCTATGGATTATATGGAAAAATGTTCAAAATCTTTTATTTAATGAAACATTTGCTAATCCATTAAATGAAGAATATGTTCGACTTTGAAAAAGGAATTGCTCAATGTTATCCATAAACATTGCTAAAGTTTGTTTGATTTTTTTTGTTTTTCTATTTTATGTCCAAATAATCGGTACTTTTTCATTGTCTCTCCTCATGATTTTCGTGTCATTTGATTTAGATCGCCGTGCTTTTTCGAAAGGTGTTCTATTAATTTTGTCAATATTTTCCTGAGTGAATATTCCTGTCAAAAATGCCTCTGTAGAGATAACGGAAAAGTATTTAAAAATTTTTTTTTAAAAATTTTTTTAATCTCAAAAAAATTTTTTTTTAAAAATTTTTTTAATTTCAAAAAAATTTTTCTTGAAGGAATGCCTTTATTTCTGTCGAAGTTAATGAAATTCTTGATCAAAATTATAGCTGGGATAATGGACTCTTATTTAATGCAACAATGCACTTTAGAAACTAAGGAGAACAACATTATCCTGCCATATTGGAGGAAAACAAAGTCCAAAATCACCTCATTTAGCTGCCTAACTGAGAGTGAAGTATTTCAGGCAAGATTTAAACCTTTTAGTGTAATAAATGTATTTTTTAGTTAGTGAAGGACTTCAAAATATTAAGCTATGAGAATTACCCGTTCAGGGAAGCTAAAAATTTTTTATTTAGAGGTAGATAAAGATAAAAATAGATAGTATAAATTTAAGATTTAGCGATATTATCGCATTATTCGCCACCATTTTATTTTATTTCCCTCCAAAAACATTTCTTAACATCCGGCTTTGTTTTCGTGTACATTTTGGAAAATGAAAAATAAAAGAGAAAATAAATAAAATGATGGCGAATAAATAGTTAAAATTAAGGGACTTTCTAAATGATATGTTACAATTCCATGACGCGGACACTTCCCCGCTAGCTAAAAAATTTGCGACAAATGAAATTGGTCTAACACCTGGTCAACAGAGAAAATTGACAAAATTCTCTCAGGTCAGAAAAATTTATTTAAAATTAAAGATTTTAAAAATAATTTTTATAATTTTTGTTAATAGTTTGGTTCTTACCCACCCCCTCTTTTTTCACTTTTTTCAATTTATGGGAATACCTATATATATTTCGAAAGAGCTCTTCAATATTAGTCAAATAACACCAAAATCAACTAAATCTGACTTAGATGAACAAAATGATGACCAGTTTTAATATATTGCTCTGGACTGGGACGTTTTGGTTGGCGCGACCCCCCGTGTGCGGGTCAACTTCCCCAGCTTAAAGAGCTTTTTCGAATGATCTAAAATATATTATACATATATAAGAAAAGCACAAAATTTAAATGGAAATATGAAAAAGAGGGAAGGGGTAAACCAAACTATTACTTAATCTTAGTTAACCCATGGATTTGGCGGTCACGTCATTAAACAAGTTATCAAAGTTATGTTAAAAATTATTTGTGATGATGATGATGATTCTTCAATCGAATCATCAGACTCTGATCCAAATGAAGATGACGATAATTCATTATTTAACGAGTGTAGAATAAGAATTAAAAATAATAAAGCAAAAGAACCAGAACGTGATATAAGTAGTCATTTAGTTTTTAGAGTAATATAATAGTAATTTAGGTAATACTGCCGAAAATATAAATGATGAAATTATGAATAATGATTTAGATCATTTTAATAATGAATTAGCTATTGTGGGAGCGGAGAATGTTGAAATTAATGAGAGTTTAAAAGTCCCGCAGCAGAAGAACGGAACAGACTGCGGGGTGTATGCACTCCTGTACGCCCGCTTTGGCATGAATGAACACAAAATGACGTTCTCCAGAAGGACATCGCTTATTATAGGCGGTTCATCTGTAGAGAGCTCTACCAATCGATTATGAAAGGTAGAAATTTTTTAAATGTAAACTATAATTTTGCCGAAGTAATGTTATCTCTTTTCTACTTTTTTTCCCTTCTCCTTTTTTCTCTTCTTTTTCACTCTTAAAATCTCACTTATTTTTTCTTCTCTAAAATTGTGAGTTTTTGGCTGAAACCCCCTTTTCTCTCTTTGCTTTTTTACAATTATTTCTTTATTTTTCAAACATATATCTTTCGAAAGTGCTCTTCGAGCTGAGTCAAATAACACCAGAATCAACATAATCTAACTTAAACTAACAAAGTTATGACCATATGGTTTAATCCCTTATAACGGCACAATATGTAGAAAAAATTGGGTCAGCCAAAGTATTAGCTTAAATATAGAAAATATTTTGGAATTAGAAATAAGGCAATAGAAAATATTTTGGAATTAAAAGATATGTAAAAATAAAAAAAAATTATATATTAAGGAGAATATGGAAGAAATTAATATAATAAATACGACTTGTAAAAATATGTTAATCAACCACCAAAAGAATTTACCCGCATTACTTTGTCTTTCGACAATGGGTTTTTGACTGAAAGAAAATTTTTGAGCTTTTAGGTGGATAATAAAATAATAAAAGAAATCCTGAATACCACTAAAAATGTAAGAAAAATATGAAATAATGAAAAAATAACAATGGATTAACTGCTGTGACCACCTTTCAAAATATCTCTTTGTATTTCCTTTGTTTTCTTTTTAATGGGCACAACCAATTACTCTAATATTACTTTTTCTCTTCTCTTCTCCTTTTTAAACGGTTTTTACGATAAAAAGAGTCTGGGATTTAAACGTTTAAATTTCGAAATAAAGAGTAAAAAGGCCAAAAAATTCAATTCAGGAAATCCCCACTAGTATAAAATTTTTTCGGTTTGGTTGGTCACAGCAATCTAGGATACTAAAAATAATTTTTTAAATAGGAAATGCCACCTTTGAAAATGCTGGCATCTCCTGAAAAAATTATAAATGTTTATGAAGACGAAGATGAGAAAATTGTGAGATGTGCAAAGGTCCCTTTTTAAATAGATTTAAATAGTCTGGTGTACAAGATAGACCTCATATAATGAGCGTGATACACTCACTTTATATATATATAGATTTTTGGTTGGCCATTAGGTAAGGAAACTGCTTTAGCAAATCCCAGTATTATAACATAAAAATTTCAACCATGAGTTCACTATACTGAGGTTTTAGAATAAAATAAGCTAAGAATGGAGTAACAAAAAATTTTAGTTATTTTACAAAGACGATGATTTAAATGAAAAATTAAATTATGAACTAGACCAAGAGTTCATATCCTCTGTTATTGAAAAATTAAATGAAAAAAGAGAAGCAAGGAGAAATATTGAATTTGAAAGAAGAAATGTGGGTTGAGGCAGAATGTCCATTTATTACTTTTGAAGGTTTTATTGAATTTTTAGAAAATTTCTTTTAATTTTTATTTTTTAGAATTAATGAATTTATGAACAATTTTATATCCGGAATTGTCGTAAAACCATTCCATGGAAACCTTATTCTAGAAATTAAAAAGGTACCTATGCTGTATTAACTACACACCGCATTTATTCGCAGGCTCAAAAGAGGCTCAAAATGGTCACCCAAACCTATGAGTTGGCGAACCGCTTATGCAAAACCCTGCATTTTATGTGTTAACAATAGGGTGTGTTTCCAGCAAATAAATGAAATGCGTAGTTAAATTGCATAAGTTCCTTTAAAAAATGAGAAATTAAATAAAATTTTCAAAAAAATAAAGAATGATAAGGACTTAATTAAATTAAGATAATGGGAAAGTGCATTGCTTCCCTTGACAATGTTCTGACAACTAGGAATTAATATATAAATTATAAAAATGAAAACAAAATTGAACCGGTTGAAAATATTTTAAAAGAAATACTTCAAATAAATAAAACCGAGTAAGTCGCGGTATATTTAATAGAATAAAAAACAAAGGCTTAGGCCCCCTTTTTCATTTTTTATCAATTAAAGACAATTAAGAAGTAATTTAAGAAAGAGTTAAGAAAGAAAGGAGAGGATATTGAGAAAGATTAAAATTAAAATAAAAAGTGAAGGAAGATTGATTTACTTGAGGAAAGAAGAAAGACTGACCATTCTGTAATAAGGAAAGAAAAGAACTAGTTGGAGAAAAAGGGGCCTAAGCTTAGGTTTTACCAAGAAAATTAATACCGAGAAAATTTTAAAAGAACCAAAGCTTATGGCCCCTTTTTCATTTGTTATTAAAAACAAGTTAAGAAAGACTTTAAGAAAGAGTTGAGAGAAATTAGCAAAGATTAAAGTATAAAATAAGGAAGTCTGACCATTCTGTAAATATGAAGGAAAAAAACTTGGGAAGAAAAAGGGGGCCTAAGTCATGTTCTACCAAGAAAATAATCAAAATAAATTTTTTAAATTTTTTATAGAAAAAGAAAAAGCGCGGTAACTTGAAACAAAGGTGGCGAGATAAGGTTATAAAATATAATATAAAAAATATATAAATAAATTTAAAAATAAATAGAGCCGAAAACACTTGTTGGACTACTAACCCTTCGAGATGGAGAGTGGTTGGAGGCATCTGTAATTGATGCTTATCTACAACACTTA